TCTAATTCTTTATTCTTCAAATACTGGCTTGTGAAATTAGAACATGACTGTACGACATTTTCATAAATCTACTTTACGACTGTCAACTATAGGCCCTACCCTACATCCTACAGCTACCATAGCTTATGTGAGTTGTGTGATATACAGTCTGGGCATCCATGTCTGCCTCATGCATAGGGCTGTCTCGCTGAGTCATCTGTGTCAATTCGGCTGTTTAGGTTTCGTGATCGGCCCAAAATCGCTCCAGCCCTATCCACCTCTGACAGGATATAATAACAACAAAGAAAATGCTGGTAAATTATTGCTGGAAAACCTTTCTTCCAGTGATATCACATAAGTGATAGTATTAAGGAATCCAGATAAGGGATAACAAGAGACCTTTTCCAGAATTCATTGTTGTAGATGCTGAATGATTTGAGCGATGTTTTTACAGTTTTACAGTTCTCTGTGCTTGCAATTCAGTGCCAGTACTCTCAGCCATAGTACTTGTAAAAGACAGAATTTCCTGGCATAAAACATCTGTTGCTTTACGATGTACTTTTACAAGCATTAAAATTCTGTTTATGAGGTCTACACATTGTAGCATATTTAAATTTTTGGACTGTAAAATATTAGCCACAGGTTCTAGTAAAGCAATATTTTGCAATTAGTCCTATGCACACGATAAATTCAGATTCCGTTGCAGCACAATGTAATTGTGAAGGGATTTTCCTGGTACATGCATTAACTTCTTTTGGTAACTTTTGCACTCCCTGTACTATGTTTATATAATGTGCTTTAAATGTACTAATAATTCTGTATTTCTGAGACCAACATGTGTCACATAAGTTTGGAATATTTACTATACATCTTCTTCGTAGAACAGATTCACAAAATAGTTTATCACGGCTTTTACAGTAGCAAAAGTGTTTCCCACTTCTGATATGCAGTTCAAATTGTTCACATCTAAATTTAGTTTATGACTGGCACAAAGGAAAAACAAAACTTTTTTATACTTCTCTTTCAAGATCTTCTGTACGCAGAGCCAGATTTAGACTTGATAAGGCCCTAAGCTGAGATATGGGGCCCTTTATAAATCTGTTATACTACATTTTAATATTATTTATACTATATTTTAATTTGGGGGGCCAAAGATATAGCTTGTGTAGCTTATACGTAAATCCAGCCCTGTCTGCATGCTACTAACATTCCCTGCCATAGCTGAACATCCATCGTAACCTTTTCCAACACATTTATTTGGATCAAAACCTTTCCTTTTCAGAAAAATGTCTAATTCATTTTCTATAGTATGAGCATCAATTGTATTTAGTTCAATAAATCCTAGGAATTCTTCCCGGACAGGAATCCTTTCTTCATAAAAAAATCGAATACCAATTGACAATTGCTCCTTCAAGATATATCACTTGTTTTATCTGCCATTATGCTGTAAGCAGAAGCTTTTCTTGCATCCTGCACTATAGTGTCTTTCATCACCAATCAACACAAACTGATCAACTCATTCTGGATTCGAGGTGACATATAAGTAGCATTTTCACTACCTTTCTTGAAATATCTTGGTAAACTTTTATTTCCTGCTTCAATTCTTAGACGAATCAGATCCTGATAAATTCCCTTCCTGTTTCGTCTTATCCCTTAGAGAGAGGTCATGGCCTCCACAAAATATGATTGTGAAAATTATCGATCTTATTACGTTTTTGATTTTCTTCCATTTCTTTTTTTGGTACCCAGAAACTAGTCTAACATTTACAGGTTCATTTTCTAGAAAATTCTTGGCAGCAATTACGGATGCTTTGTGCCACTGATTTTGAAAAGTGATTTTTACAAGCTTCATGCATGGCATGATAATGTGTGAATGGCTTAATAATGATGGAGCCCAAAACACCTTTCACTGATGCAGTAGCAGGAGAGAAAAGAACACAGTACAAGCGTAATGCTCCTTTTACACTTTTTGAATATGTGAGCCAAGGAGCATGAGTCTTTAGCCACTCATGTCTAAACTTTCTTTTCTAAAGGATAGCATCTGCTGCAAAATCATACTTTTCATCAAATGTCCAACAACATTTTAATATTTTCATCTTTAGATGTGTGGCCATTGATGACGAACATCCTACCCATCTTCCCAAATCATGGTTGCAATATTCCTCGATGGTGTCACTATTATGTGATGAGATGGAAGTAGGGCTTTATATAAAGTGATAGGAGAAGCACACACTTTCATAAATTCTTCACTTTCTCTTTCACTAATGTTTTCTATTTTCTTGCTCTTCGCTCCTGAAATATAAAACCAAAATTAATTACCTGTTTGGAAATCAATGTCAAAACTTATATCATGGCACTTAGGCTTTTCCAGTGTTAGAGTTCATGAGCATTTATATCAAATTGGATTAATACAGCTAAAAGCATTCAGAAGTTATCATATAATATCCATGCACATACATACATTAACTTATTGAATCAATAACATTCACAAAAGATTTTTTGATTTCTGCCGCCTTACTAAAATTTAGATCTAAATAAAATTTTACAAGAAGGTATTGTATAAGGTATCCCGCATTTAACCCGCATATCCCTGCATTTAACCCGCGAGCGCGCACGCTCATATGAGTTACACGAGCGCACGCACTGGGTCCAAAAGACCCAGTTCTTAATAACAAATTTTGTGATAACATTTTTAAAAAATATGCAAGTTAAAATTTTTAATTTCTCCAAATGCTTTTATGAAACAAAATTTCTTAAAGGAATAAAAAATCTAATTATTTATTAGCACAGGAAACAAAAATAGTACTGTATCGATACTATTTACTCTGTGTCGATTCTTATTTTCTTTATTAGCATTATATAGACACAAATAAAAATGCAACAACAAATGTGAGCAGCACATTGAAGAAAGTGTTTTCGCGTGCTCCAAATAAAAATACTTTTCGGCGAAACGCGTTTTCGTTTTTTTGTACTTTTTTGCTGGACAAAACGATGCATTTTTTGTTTACTTTTTTGGGGGGGGAGGGCTTCCGATAATTTTTCCCCTCCAAAAAATTTATGTCTTTCTCCCACTCATTTTCAGAATCTATATCACTGTCTGAATCACAATCATGTGAATTAAAAATTCATGATCTCTTCCATCCTTATTTTCTTCAATACATTCTTCGCCAATTGATGCCTCTGATAACTTTTGCAATATTTCTTCGTTGTATAATAAAAAACGTGACATTTTTGCCGTTTTCTATAATGTAACAAATCAGCTGTGAAATAGTAACACTAATAGGCATGCTGGGTCTAAAAGACCCAATAGCATCAAAATCAGGACTCCGAATAAAGTCCCAACAAAGAAACTTCGGAAATATAAAGAGGTCGACCTAAAACATGACTACACTGGACCTCAACAACTTGCATGAAATATGTGCGCTTTGAGATAGGTTTGTTTAATCATGCGGGTCCTTTGGACCCAGTGGCGCTCGCGGGTTAAACCAATGCTACTAAGCCAACTTTCAATCAAAATGTTTAAATAGCATTTTTATACATTCTAAAATTAATACCTTCTTCATCATAATGGAGTTACAAATGTAAATAAATTCTATAATATTCTATTCAATATAATCTATTCTATTCAATTCTATTAATAATATTCTAAGAATGATATACATAGCCTGCCTCCATATAAAGAATTAGAAGTGCAAAATACCCATTATGCATGCATTTAAACTCTTTCAATATTATTGATATTCAAATGATTGATGAAGATCACTGCAATATTTAGAAAATTTAAGGAAATGCATGTGAATTTTCCTATTTGAAGGTAAATTGATTTTAAATACAGAAATTGAAATTTTCAATTAATTGATGATTTAATTTTTTATACAATGGAACCTCGAATCATGAACTTCTCACTTCACAAATATTCCAGTTTATGAACAAAAATATCTGAGCAAAAAACGCCTATAGAAATATCATAATGCCTATATAAATATCATATAAAGAATAGTGTTTCATGTTATGAACACTTAAATCAGCAACTTATGATTTTTAAAAATGTTTTCAGGTAATCTGTGCCACATAACTAACACTCAAGCACTTCTGGAAACATCACTTTCGATATAATATAAGCATATCAACCTTCTTTAATAAAATATAATATAAGCATATCCAACCATCTTTAATATAATATAATATAAGCATATCAACCATCTTTAATATAATATAATATAAGTATATCAACCAAAAAAAATATTAAAGGTGTAAGGGGAAAAACATACTTTCCTGAACAAAATCATAATTGAATACTAAAAACAAATCGTAAAATCGAATGAAAACTATGTATAATGAATTTGCATTAGTTTATTGAACATGAAAACTATTCAAACATCACCTTAGTTAGGAACATTTTTTCATCTCCCCCCCAGCAGGAAAGTAATTAAAATTCCTTAAAAATTAAAGTTTCACAACCAAAATTAGTTTTATATTTTTTGTGCATATTCATATATAAATTATTAAACAGAATGATTTTATGTAAAATTTGATTATGAAAGAACTCGATTAAAAACTTTTTCTGTTATGAACTTGTTCAAATTGAATTCGAAAAGTAGAGTCTAGCTTACAAGCCTCATTAGAAAGTGTCTGTACAACTGTATTATTTTTGAGAGAGAAAGAAAGCTAGTTTTACGGGAGATTATATCAGCTGTGCACTTGGTCTTCGTTGCCTCTTTTCTCGTATTAGCGGACAATACCGAAATGAAAATTTTATAAAAACAGATTAGGGTATGTATAGTACTTTGGCAAATTTAAAGTTGTTGTTTTTTGAATGGCCAGACATTTGCAACACACTTGCTGCAAATTACCTTTAGTTACTTTGCACAATAAAAACAATTCCACTACCACATGTGAATGGAACTATATAAGGCATTGGTAGATAATAAATAAAGCGATTTTTATTTATTTATTTATTTTTGAGTTGAGATAAAATGCTATATGGATTTTATTTGAAGCAAATTATATCTTTGTTGCAGATTGACAAAAAAGCATGTTTTTCGGCATTATCTCCTGATATGCTTGCAACTGATATTGCATATTATCTTGTTAAAAAGAATGTAAGTATTTTTAATACAAGTTTTTAATTGTTTTATGTTCACAATATGAAATCTTTTCACATACAAATAAACTTATGATATAAAACAACATTGTGAAAATTTTAATCCATGATGCATGACATATCTCTAATGAAAATTCAGAGATATGTCATGCATCAAGTGTAACTGAATTTCTATTCTTTTTTTAGCATTAAAGATATATTATGTCTTTAGTAGGATATATTAGGAAACATTTAATAAGAAATATATTTTAATGAATATGAATAAATAAGAAATAATAATAATAAATATTAAACAAATTATGATGGCTAGCTCTTTGATGACATTGTACAACTGATTCAGACATGATTAAACAGCTGATACAGCAATAGCTGTTTTCTCTCTATATAGGGCATAGCTGGAAATAATTGTGTTTGTCATTTGAAGGTAAGTAGAAAGTGTGATTTGCATGTCAAATATGGTTTGGGATAAAAGTATAGGAGCAGTCTGATATATTCATTAAGTTATAAGTAAAGATTGAGGACAGCATAAATAGTAATATTTTTCTGTAGCATCTTAAAGAACAAATTTCATAACCTGCAGACAAACTGATTGATAAAATTATGTTTTACTAAAAAAAAAGATTGAAAATATAATAAAGGAAAAAACATAATGTGTATAAAATCTTTTCTTCTTTTCCTTTGAAATAATTTTTTCCTCTAAAGATTAAAACTGTGTTTTTTATTATTGTGAAATAATATATATAAAATAATGCTATGAATTAAAATTTTCTTTTTTCTTATGTTCTAAAACAGCAATTCTCATATTTTGTGTTTTTATGCAAACTTGTATCAGTAATTCCAGCAGCAGTTTGAAGGAGCAGATAGCTCTATATTTTGTTAGATTTTTCAGGTCTAAAATTCCAGGTTATTTATTTTTTTTAACTTCATATCTAAAATTATTAAAAGAGTCATTTTATTTGTTTTGACCTCCAATATCAAATGCCTACATTTAAATTATGGAAATTTTCAAAAGAAAAAAGGACATTGCAGACATAAACACCAAAACAAAGTAAAACATTATATTCGATTACAGAAGTCCACTGATGATGAAAACTGACAAAGATCTCACTAGACTAGTGCCAGTCCTTCTGGCAGAAGTTTGAAGGAACAGATCACTATTTTAGATAATCAACATAACAAGTTACTAATATAACATATCAAACCTTAATTGCATGTAATAATGTTTCATGTTGCAAAGCCAATATCCATTTTCACGTATGTGTTGTAGCACTGCTAAGATATGCTAGCCTCAATAGCTTACTAGTGCTTGCTACATCATGAATTGCATGATGCATCACTTTGCACAGGATTCACATAAAGCCAAAATCTTTTATGCCTGGAACTACAATCAACTGATCAACACAGCCACTGATATGCTAATTGGTATCATATCGAATTTTCTGATCAATCCTGCTTCACTTTGGAGTAAAGCAATGCATTGTATTGACAGTATAGGGGTGAATGTCATTTTCCGGAGTGCATTATCTAGCGTCATATTGGGCAGTTACTAAATGTGATGGTCTTTGGGGAAAGGGACAGTTTGGTGTAATGAGCACTCTTATCTGCTAATAGCTGAAGGTGCTATCACTCATAATCATTACATCTGAGAGGTTGTGCAGCCCAAAGTTTTGCCCTTCATTTAGTATTTTCCTGGAAATGTATTTCAATAGGACAATGACAATCCACATGTGTTAGAAATATTCAAGATTTTCTCTCATGAAGGAACAGATCACCTTTTATTTTGTTAGATAATCAACATATATAAATTACAGGCATAATACAGTAAACCTTAAATTGCATCTCATGTTGTATAACCAGTGTTTATCCATTTTCACATAAGTCACACTTTTCTTGATACCCAAATCCCATAATTTTAAGAATATAATATTGTATGCTGCCCATTGAAGACAAGTCCCAAATTTTGATCATTTTTTAGAAAAATTAAATGATTTGTAGAGAATTAATTGGATTTATGTACATACGAAGGATTACATCATGCTTATCCATTATTGTGGTAAACTGTAGTATTCTTCGTTGAGAACATATTCGTGACAGATGATGAATCCAAACTGAATTTGGCCTCTTGGTGTCATTGCAGTTATGCTTATTTAATTGATCTACAAGAGGTTTTTAGTGATGTATTTATTGTTTAGGGAATTTTAATGGAGAGCATTTTAGCGGGAGAGCAAACATGAATGACCTTTAGGAGATTTTATTGTAGCTAATAACATGATTTTTTACAATAATTTTAATCCATTGCTAACATTTTCATTGGCTGTGGGATAGGGATATATAGACTTTGTTTAATGTTCCAAATACAGTCACTCACTCCAGTCACAGTCACTCTCACTCATCTGGTCAGTCAGTCATCACTCAACCGCTGAGCTCCTAGAGATGAGGTCGGGTATTTTTCAGTGTTGAGCGTTTTGGGGGGGGGAAGTTTCTCTGGATTTTATGCCATTGTGGATTACTTGCTTTTGGATTACTACTGCAGACCTGTCTGGGTAAGTCTTTTCTTTTCTTCCTCTTGTCTTGACATGCATTACCGTGGCCAACTCAGTTAGCAGCGTTAAGCACGATGGATGAGCAGTCGATAAGAGAATACTATGGTAAAAGATAGAACATACTTAGCTGTTTTTGAGGAAATCACAGCTAGTTTTACGAAAGAGAAAACAGAAAAAAGGAGAATACAGCACATTTCTCTTAATGAGGTTTACACAGAAGAGTGCAAAGGGCACGTTACAAAAGAATAGTTATTCGCAAAACTTAACAAAATTGAAATGGACCTACAGAATTTAGAAAAGGCAAAATGTCCCGAAAAAGATAGTAAATCCATGGACCTTCAACCCGCACGTTTCCTTACAGAGCAGATGCTCAAACATACTGAATCAAATATCAAAATAATTAATAATGATCTAGCTAAACTAGAAACTCAATCTAAATGTGATAACTCACCAATTCAAAATGAGAATTCAAAACCACTAAAAAGAAAAGCTAGCGGGAAAAGATGCAGCAAAAAAGAAACTGATAGCAAGGGATTTATCTCCCCACGTAAAACACACAAGAGGAACAATTCCAATGCAGAAATAATTTATCCTTCACAGGAAAATAAATTCAAAAATCTTAATAACGAAGTTAATATGGATGACGAAAACGAAGCCCCCTTTGAAATCCCAAAAAAGGTTGCGGGGCATATGTCACCAATAGTACTCGCTGACTTCCAGGGGAACTGGGACAAGTTTAAAAATGAAATAGAAGAACTAGAGATAAAAAACTATACTGGCAATTTAAAAGGTGGCCGCCTAACAATTCGAGTCTTTGACTCCGATCACTACTGAGAAGTAACTGCGCACCTCAAAAAACGAGGCCTTCCTTTCCATACCTTCAAATTAAATTCCCCAAAACCAATCAAAGCAATCATTAAAAGATTACCAGATACCTCAGATACTGAAATCCTATTTGAAGAAATCAAGAATTCGGGCATTCCAATACTAAAAATCAAACAAATAAAAGAGTATGAGACGGCAATTTAATTAATCTTCCGGTTTTCCTGGCGGAAGTTAAGAGAAACCCTAAAGAAAAGAAAATTTTTTATCTAAAGAAATTACGTGGATTAGACATCCAAATGGCGAATTGCAGATCGTGGCCAGGCCCTGTGCAGTCTTATAAATGTCAAAGGTAATGGACGCACACAGGAACTGTGCAATTATACACCACACTGCCTAAAATGTGCAGACACACATGAAACTTTCACTTGCAAAACCAGGAAGGAAACTAATCCCGTAGTCTGCGTGTTATGCAAAGAAAATCACATATCGTCTTATCGTGGATGCAGTAAGAACCCAAAGAATATCCAAAAAAGAATAGAACAGGAAAAAGCCGAGAAAGCGGCTAACAGAAATACAAAGAACACTAATTTCCAACTCACAGAAGCTGAATTCCCGCCACTTCCATCGGCGCCGTTAACAGCGACTACTACCAGCCAAACTCAAGCAGAGAATAACAACACGAACAGCAACAGAAATGAAGTCTCCTTTTTCAAATGGATTAAAACACAATTTACCAACGTAAAATTTTTCTTCAACCAATTCAAGACTGCAAAGTCTATAATGCAGAAAATTGAAGTCGGCATGGCGGCTGTGGAACACTTAAGAGCCTTGACTATGAGTTTTAAGCCCATAATGCTGAATACAAACCTGATCGCAACTACCACAAATTTTATTAAAGTCTCTTTCTTTAACGCCAACGGAGTTAAAAAGCAGAAACAAGAATTAATCAACTACATGACTCATCACAATATTGATATAATGATGTTAAACAAAACTCACCTTATTGCTAGTCATAAATTCAATATCCCAGGATTTAATGTATAGAGGAATGACCGGGCCTAGAACGGCAAAGAAGGCACTGCGATATGCGTCAAAAAACACATTAAAAGTACTCGTTTTGAAATCCATAATACAGGAAACATCGAATGCGCGGGTGCACTTGTTTACACAGGATTCAGAAACCCTTTCCTATTTAACGCAGTCTACCATCCTCCAAACAGCACACTCAGTAGTAATGCTCTGATCAATATCTCCAAATTTAATTTCCCTACCCTCATTGCAGGGCATCTTAGCACTAAAAATGTATTATGGAACTGCAGAACCTCAAACAGAAATGGAATTATTCTTCAAAATTATATACAGAATTGACTTAAGAATAATCGACCCTACCTGTTATCATCACGACGGGATGGGAGACATTCTTGATATTCTTCTCTTTCGGAACATCGCAACCACACCGGCATTGGAAGTTATAGATCTCTCTTCTAATCACCTTCCTGTGAACCTTGAGTTTTACGGCTTCTACCCGCCGCTCCAAAAACCTATTAATAAAATTAACTGGGAAATCTACACTAAAGAATTAAATAAAATTCTGAGCAAAGCTACTTCCCGTAACCCTTAGGATATTGAGAAGAATGTGGAAAATCTTAATAGTAAAATTCAAGAAGCAATTACTAAAGCAACCTACAATAGCACCAAATTTAACCTTCATAAACTGCCTAATTATATTATTGATATTATCAAAAAAAGAAACAGATACAGGAAAATCTGGCACCTAACAAGATTTCCAAGGGGCAAAGCCCAAATAAACTACTTAAACAGAAGAATCTCGGAAGAAATTCAAAAACATCGTACCGCTATCTGGAATAATATGTTAGAAAATATGGAAATCCAGCAAAATACAGTTTGGAAAATTGCAGAAGCCCTCTGCACAAACAATAGCAACCAATTACGCACGCAGGTCAGACAGTTTATTCCGAACACGAAATCGCAGAAGCAATGGTGGTTAACCTAAGCAAAAAATTTGAGAAGCATGAAGAAGAAAATTCAGAACACGAAAATAAAATCAATAATACAGTAGATCTTATCCAAATTAGAAACATTAGAGATTTTATTCAATTCACGTCTCTAAAAGAGGTCAGAGAAAAAATCAAAAGCATTAAAAAGAAGAAAGCAAAGGGATTCAACAATATCAACAATGAAGCTCTAAAAGCACTGCCTAACATGGACCTTTTTGTGATTTTCCCCATGATTAACGTGTATATGAGTCAATATCCCTTAGAAAGTCCACTATGAAGGCATTCTGCCCCTTAGATAGCCCTTGAGTGTTTTGCCATAATTAAACAAGCTGAAAACTAAACTGTATACCATTAATGTATTCATATCACTCCTTTAAAATCTGATGCGTGCATGTAATTTTATAATATGCTAGAACCACGGTTCTCAACCTTTTGACTAACGTGTACCATCTAATTAAACATTGAAAAACTTTAGTACCACCACTACATTTTACAGTGATTATTTTTCAATTTCTCAATATAAATATTAAAATATATATATATTGCCATTTGCACAACCTGTTGGCTATTTGTATTAAATATGCATGTATAAAAAATATTAGATTAAAAATTGGCTACTATTTTAATTACCAAAATTTAAGTTACAATACTTTAATTCTAAAATTTAGTGTAAAATTTGGGCCTGTTTAAGATAGATCAATTACTTCATGTCTGATCTTATTTCAGTTAAATTTAACCATAAATTCTCTTTTAATTTTGTTCTGTATTTATTTTTCAAATAAAGCGTGGAAGAAAATTGTTGTTCATACAAATAGGTTGTTCAAAAAGGCAATAAAAATTTAGTAGCTTTATTTGAAATTCTTTTTTTACATGCCTTTAAATTCTTTTTTTGGGTTCAGCCAAAGGTGTGTGTGTTACAAGTGTGTTATTTTTGAAATCTTCAGTCAGAGTTCAATCACCGTAAATTTCTATCAATTGTTCTTTTTCTTTACGAGATTTCGGAATTACGTAGTTAAAAATACTTTGTTTCTTTGCATACCACATGTTGAGAATCTCAGTGCTAGACATTAGATTTTAAAAATGAATTTAGTTGAAAATTCATTTCCAAAATATTCAGATGTATTTTTTAAAATGTTTTTCTCAGTACTGTTCTGTAAAATGTTTTTCTCTGATAATTTTTTAAAATATACACTCAAATTCAAAAATAATTGTACATGCCTGAAATCACGGATTTCTTAGAAACTGTGAACTTATAATTTTATGAACTTGTGTGGAATTCTACATTGAACAAATTTTGAGCTTGAACTCAAGCAATATAGAATGCTATTTCTTCAGGTATGCATTTGAAACCTGTTTGATTCAATGCCACAGCAATTTTAAGCTCTTATTGCAGTGCATGGTAATTTTATCAAATACTGATTTTTGGTGACTGTTATCCTTGTATTGCTCTGGGAATTTAATAACTTCTTTATATCACTATTCAAATTTCATTCACTTCTGATGATTGCTTCATGGTGTTGCATATTTTAACGACAAAAAAAAAAAAAAAAAAAAAAAGAGTATACATTTATATAGATACACACACATTACATTTTATATTTATAAATTATGCATATCAGTAGACATGAAGAATTATGTAATATTTAACAAATCATATTAAATTATAGTGTTTCCTCTATAATTAATACTTTATAATATTTTCTGCTAATTAATGATAACAGTTATGTCACAAACCATCTTAAATATCTAAACTGTTACTAGAATTTTATCTTAAAGTAGTTAAGTTAGAAAACTTATTTTATATAAATAAGTTACTCTTGAATAATAATAAATATTTGACTAATTCTTGAGAAAATCGGGAAATTACTTTAGATTTAATATCAAAACAGGATTTGATTGATGTTCATAATTTTGACAAAGTTGTATATTAGCAGGATTCTAAACAATATTAGATAATAGTTCAAAATGCTTATTTTATTCCTAGATCTAGTCCACATGGTGTACTTCACCTTGAAAAATGTTATTCGGAACATTCCATCATGAAAGAGATTGAGAAATATTTGTTTTAAAACATAAATGTCAAATATCTGAACTTCATAACCAAGTAAAATATTTGCTATAAATTAACTTCAGTTTGTAATGTTAAACATTGCATGTTGCATTGCAATATATAAATAAAATCATCCAATACATCGTTTGAATACATATATAAATAAAATATATAAATAAAATCATACAATATAATATATAAATATATAAATAAAATCATACAATACATCGTTTCAGTCTTGGGATCTGAAAACTTGAGTAATACTTTTAAAGACTACAGTTATAATGTGTAATGCCATAGCAGGAGACCAAATTATGCCATATATAATATTTTTTATATATCTAGTCAGTATTTACAGCTTCTATACATAGCACTGTTTATAAATTTTAATTAAACGTAGTTTTAATACAGTACAGAAATTTTTAAAATATTTTATTTGAGTGTGTAAATTAAATATTGTGAAACTTTAAAAGAAGCTACTCAAACTATCACATGTGTGCTCTTCATGTTGTACCCCCTTTCTCTTTTATTAGCAGTAAAGAAGAAGTTAAATGGCTGAGAGCGATACCCCCCCCCAAAAAAAGTAATCTTGCTATTGTTATAGAACATTAACCTCTTCATCGTCTGTAATGTGTCTAGTGCGTTCAAGTGAAACTTCCGCAGGCGGCTGTAACGTGCTACAAGCGTTCTTCTACATTTTAAAACGCTTTCTAAATGTTTACTTGTTTGAGTGTTTATTTTTGTTTGTACTAAAACCTCATAGAGGGCAGCACTAGTCAGGCATTCTATTTCCAATTGAATTTGCCCCAGGTTTTATGAATTTTTGCACCATTTTACATAAGATACAAGACAGTGAGAGATGGCTTCAAAGTCTACTCAGCAGAAAAAGAGAAAAAATGAGATTGTGAATTGGAAAGACAAGAAGGATATACGTTTAATGAGTACAGCCCATAATAACTCAGATTGATTTTGGAACACGGAAAAGAACTGTAAAAAAAACCAATAAGTAAAAGATTACAAAACAAAAGGGAGGAGGGACCGCCTGGAACAGATGTTATCAATTATCCTGCTGTTAGAAATAAGCAGAGATATTATTTTTCCATTATGCTTTAATTCCTTATAATTTTACTTAATATTCATTGACATTCATCCACTATGAAAATTATGATGTATAGAGAAAACAACATTACACACTACAAAAAACAGACGGCCGCTGGTGGGAAATTTTCGCGTACAGGAGAGGACTGCGAAAGGGTTAAACAATATTTTATTAGCTATAAATATATGAAACATATTTAATGTTTTATTTCAAAAAGAGAAGGAAAAATATAAAGTATATTACATTTTATTACAGAAATTAGAATGAAATGAAATGTATTAAATTTCCTTCCCCCTCCCAAAGCAACTGAATTTCAAATATAAAATATAATTTGTAAGTTTATTCAATGTAAAGTATGGTTTTCTATCTTCCACATGTTTTTAGTAATCTTTTTTATAATATATTCTCATATACGAGATTAATTTATTATCAGGTGCCATTTCGAGATGCTCATAAAATTGCCGGTGAGGTTGTTAGATTAGCTGAGAAAGAGAACTGTAGCATCACAGAGCTTACACTTGCTCAATTAAAAAGCATAAGGTAAAATGTTTCAAAATATTCAGAAAACCTTTTTCATATTTAAAATTTAGATATAATAACTAAAATTTCAAAAACTTGCATACAGTAATTGTGTTTATTTTAATTTCTTTTATTTTTATGATTTGAATGTTTTTAGTGGACATTTTACGGAGGATGTTGTATCTCTATGGGATTATGAGCACAGTGTCGAACAATATCAAGCTTTTGGTGGCACTGCCTTGCATAACATTGAAATTCAAATTCAACAATTAGAGCAGTGGATATCTGATTCACAGATCTTAACCACTCAAGTGTAGAGTGTTATTCAAGATTAGTTACATGTTTTAGTTGATTTTCTGAACTGTTTCTTTTTATATCATATTGACATGTCAAATTTTTAAATGTATCCCATGAGTTTTTTTATATATATTGTCATATATTTATGGTACAGCTTGCTATCATGTAGCATGTAAAATAAGACATTTTTCCAGAGAGAAGTTTCTTCTATTTGCTATTTCAAATTTTACTTCCTATTACTAGTAAACTGATCTTTAATCATGAATAAATTAATTTCCCCCAAAACATGCTTTAAATATTAATTTTATTATTTTAATCTAAAAAAGATAACAATAGCAATTAGAAAACTCCTGTATTTAGTATTCGTGTCTTATTAGTTGTTTAAAAATCCTGTTCTAAACTTTCATATATTTATATTCTTCTACATGGACATAGTTTTCTAATTTTAGCGATTTCTGAAGGCAATGTAAATACTTTTTATATCTTTATAATGTTTGTAATAGCAACTTAAATCTCCTTTTGAATTTGATTATTTCTTCATTCTATTCTAAAAAATATATATTTATATGTTTTGCTGAAGTGCATCATTGCAAATTTAATCAGTGTCGTATGATTTTTATACAGTACAGATGTCACATACATGTGACATAATGGCAAAAATAAAACTGAAATTTTTTACCCAGTAGTATTCAAACTCAAATTTAATAAATCAGTAATAATAAGGCAATACTGTATTTCTCTGTTGAGATGTAAAATAACTTTGCCATTCTAAATTTAATATCAGCAACATCATCTTTGCTTTTCTCATGCCTCTTTTTATCCTGCTAATATGTAGTCTGATGCTTTTTTGTATCTGCAAATGTAATGCTATTATTATGCAAAATATGTGCTTGAAAATGTTTGAATAACAAGTATACTTTTTATGCCAGTTTTACTATATGTATTCACTTCAGTAATGTTGTACTTCAGATAAAGAACTATATCAGCCAGCTGTTATTATATCTTCATTATATGAAATTACTCAGGTGTCTTACCATCATCTACATCAGACCCCAAATTCTTCACTCATGCACATGTACACAAACGTAAGTTAAAAATCAAAGTTTAACTTAAGGTCCTTTTATTCATTTTTAAAATTAGGAAATTCTCTCTTTCAAATTGCAGTCATGCTACATTTTATTTCAATTAAAATTTAATGTATTATCATTAATAGACAGACTATATGGGAGAATTTTTAGCTAATTAAAACATTTCTAACTGCAGCATGATTAGCCTCAACTTTCTGATTTAATTTGCATAAGAAATATATGAGAAAATTTTACAGGAGTTTATGAAGTACCAAACTTGCATCCAATTCCATATAGCTTGATATCATTAATAATCAATAATACAGTACAAAGTCCGAAATCCAGAATCGTCGGGACTTCGGCGATTCCAGATTAGGGATTTTTCCGGATATTAGATCATCATTTTAAATCTAGTAAAATGGCATGTAGAAATTATAAAATTAAAAAGGATAAAATTGTGATTTATGAAATAATGAAGTATTGATCTAAAGGGTATCAAAATTTACAAAGTAAAATTTGCGGCTATCATCATCAAATTCAGCTATTGTTCACTATACATATTTGGCTATGCATCATGAGCTTGGCGAATAATGACAAGTAGTTCAGTTAAATTTTATCTTGCTTCTGTCATGCACGGAGACAAATTAAGCCTGAATTGTATTAGTTTAGTTATTTATTATACTTAGGTCTATTTCTTGAACACGCTTAAGGCTTATCAGAGTTCTGAATAAATAAATTCCGACATATACTTATTAAGGGTCAGCGCTAGATATCTTACTGCCTGATGCAGACTCTGTGGGTCCATATGAGCCCTCACGCTGGTTCTGGGTTTATGCGAATAAAAAAATCAGTTATTTTTAATTCAAATAGCCCTAAATGTTATCTTTGGGTCTATGAGTATTGTCAACAAAATCTATTTTTAGCATATGGAAAGAAATTTTTGGTAAATTTTTCCTCATCAACATTTTTTAGCGCATTTAACTTAAATCTGTAATTATCGCCAAGCTTAATGTCAACATAAAACATTACCATACTATTACTATGTCTATTATTCAATTACGAACATAAAAATTTGCTTAGGCATTGCTACATGAGTCGTTACTTAAGTTGTCATGTTTTGATAAACATGCGGCGATGAAAGGAAAGTATAATAAATAATGATTCGCCAGGTTGGGCATCAGATCAACAATGTATCTATGTGGAATGGTTTTGGTTTGTGCCAAAGCAGATACGCAGCAATGGAGCCAAATTACTGATGGTACAAATTTATGCTAAAATTATTGTTTCTTCAATAACAAGGTATTTTAGTTAGTGTTGAAGAGAAATTAAGAGTCGGGACTCTTCAGATGTTTTATTACGCATGTAAATGGTGTTTTATTATGCATGGGTGAATAAAATTACCTTCTTCCTGTCCTTGGATTTGCTTAGTGAACATATAGTCTGCCTCTCTTTTATTACTAGATCTAGTGAGCAAACATGAGTACATTGATAGTTCAGCCTGGATTTGATTCTAGACTAATGGACATTTTCATAGTTTTCCCCATGTGGCAGTTTCCCTTAGAAAGTCCACAACAAAGCCATCCCTCCTTTTAGACACATAGCTTCCACATATGTTGCCCTAATCAAATAAACCAACTTACATGGTGAAATAGAACATGATTGTAGTACTAGATACTTCATGTCTGTGATCAAGATAAATTTATCAAATTTAGAAAAATAATACTTTATCTTATATGTGTTTTGAATTCAATAATACTGATGATCATCCACAAATCTGGCTATCAAATCTGGCTTTTGTTGACAGATGATATATTAAAACAAATAAAAACAATGCAATAAAAACATTGGAAACATTTACAAGATTGAGTATAGTAATAAACAAAAATCAACATTAGAAGTACACAATAGTTCAATTATAAAAGGTAATGCAATTATACATTGTGACATCAAAAAGAAAAATATGTGCGGCAGGACATCTTCACATAAAGCTGTTGAATGTGCTGGGGTATATTTACAGGGGCATTATTATGTGGTTAACGTTCGCCGTCAGCTCGTATCTGTTTTTGTTTTGGTGCTGTTGAGGTGGTGTCTGCACGAAAAAGTTATCATAAAGGATATTTTTTAAGTTTTTCATTAGCTTCATTTTTTTAAAATATTTCATCTTTATTCATCAAGAGGTCAGTTCGTGCCCAAAACCCTGCACTGTCAACACTTTAACAATTATGGACGTCTATAGAGGCAGCATGGCTCAATATTCCCGCAGGGAACTTCTAACGACTTGTTGAGTCCATGCCATGTCGAGTTGCTGCACTTCGCCGGGCAAAAGAAGGACCGAGAAAATATTACGAGGTCTCCCATGACTTTTGTCACTTCAGTGCATATCGCAGGAAAGCTTTGATTGATAAATCTAGCTTTGATTGCTACTGAAAATGAAATCTGCAAAGAGATAGATGCAAAAGAAATTATAGGAAAATTTCTAAATATGAAATACGGAAAAATAAATTATTCTCGAAACACAAAAAATCAACAAATGCTTTCTTCAAAACCTCCTTCTCCTATACAAAAATTAAAAAGGGGTGCGTGACTTCAGCTATTTTGCAGGCGGGCGGCGGATAACCTTGCGCCGGCGCTGGCTCCAATCTGCTTACCCTTAGCACACATCAAAATAAAAGGGAAATTTGGAAGAATAATAACAAAAGCAGCGGTCATTCGAAACGAGCTTGATTAATGACATTATCTTCTAGAGAACCAGAGGACTGCAAAATTAGAAAAAAATCAACTCCATGGACTTTCCTTTCAGGTAAATGCGAGTTCCATCAGTTGAATGATGAAAACGCAGTAAAATACTCGGAAAGAAAATGGGAGCCATAACTTTATGGCCGCAGAGGAAATTTCTCCCCTCGCTAAAGAAGAAAGTAACCCTTTGCCCTGAACAAAGGAGCTGAAAGGCGTAAAATTGCTCCTACCTGACGCAGAGGTGAATGAACTACCCCTTCTTTCAATAGACAAGACTCAGTTATCTAACTTGCAAAGTGGAAGTGAGGATTTAAAACCACTTTTTGACGTAGCTGGCATTAGATGCTCAAAGAAGCTTTCCGAAAAATGTTTACAAAGTAGAAGATTGACTGCTCTATAAATGTCAAGATCATTGAGGAAATGTGAGGAAATTATTGGTCGTTTGTGGGACAAAATTATTAAGTTTATGCCACGAGCAGGTCTAAGGGCATCTGGGAGTAACAAAGTCGAAAGATCATCTCGCGAGATATTTGTTTTTGGCCCGAATGTTACCAAGAAATGGAAAAAACATGCATTCAATCCTTTTGAAAAGAAAAAGTATTACCATCCCCATTATTACGTCACTCTTGAACGAGAAGTAATTGTAGAGACTTTAATGATTAGTGTTTTTTATGTGACAATGTTATTTGCATTCCATGAATTTATTTTTGAGTTGTAGCTTTCATTTTGTTTTCAGATGTAAATATTAACAATTTTACGAAATGTCTAGGCGCGATAAACTAGCTTACCCGAAAAACAGGTTTAGGGTTGCCACATTTGTCGAGAAATCTTCCATTTCGTGATAAAATTTGTGATATGCCATGGACAGATGAAGAACCTTCTGGAACGAATTCTTACTCGTTTAGCCCAGAATGTTTTCGAATGCAAGCCAAAAGCTATATAAACCCTGCTGGTACGCGGAGAGTAAGTGAGTGTCCATCGAGTTTATAGTCAGTCAGTGAGTGCCGATTTGATCATCGAGTGCACCGAAAGAGTCTCTTAGTGTATTGCAAGTTAGTGAATCATCGTTATCTAGTGTGTGACTCTGGGAACAATTGAACCGAGGAGTCGGGAGCTGTACTCTAGTATATCGTAGAGTGCATTGCGAGTTGTAGCGTGGAGAATCTCGAGAGTACTTGGAGTTCCGAAAGCGACCGACCATAGTTGAGAGCTGTACTTTGTTGCTTTGCCAAGAAGCTGTCTCCACCATTATAGCCTCATAACCTGAAGGCTGTGTCGTTTATTATTTCAGCATGTTTGTATTAGTTCTTTGATGACTGTAAACATGTTATTGGAGCTGTTTTGAATAAATACTGGCCAATAAAGTGTGTTTTGATACTTTATCAAATGTCGTCGTTATTTAACCCAAATCAACAAACCCGTATCGTATCGTACGTAAGAATAGACAAAAACGTAACAACTGGTGTCAGAAGTGGGATTTGTGAGTGAATGTCGGTGATCCTCCTGCAGAAGAAAGCCTCATTCGGAGAGTAAGCCTAACAATGTCAGAAGAAACTTATCAGCTCAGTAAAAGTAGGCAAATTCTTACTCGTTTAGTTAAGTTTCTCGATAATTTCTCCTGTGCGTTACTTAAACGTTATTTTTCAGTGTTAACTTTGGTTTTCACTGTGAATTACTGTCTTTTTTCAGAACTGAGAATTCGGATGACGAAATTAGAAGCTGATTCGAAGTACTCTGCGAGATCGCTACCTGTCCAGGATAAGAGGAGTGAATTTCTCAAGAGCAGGAGAATTTCGAAGCAAGGAAAAGGGAAGAAGTAAAATTAGTTTCTAAAGATAAAAACTTGGGAATTCCTGAAATTCATGCGGAACTTGAATCGACTGGGCAGGTAAACTACGAGAAAATTCTTAAGATATCAAAGTGGATGGTATCGAAAACCTGCTGCAGATGCTGAAGCCACTAGTTGACAACCCGCCACCCCAGCCCTTCAAGAAACTCAAAACTGACGAAATTTCCCAGCCACACTAGGCAGAATTAAGTTTGACAGAAGATCAAGGATGGATTTCCCCCAAGAAAACTGGTAAACCGATAAGAGTGAGTGAATCTATGGAGATTGAACAGGAAAACAGGTTTGAAGCCTTGAACGAGCCAGAAAATGAGAGCAAAGCAGTAGCGGGAACTTCAGAAA